TTTTTTAATCTAAGAAAAACTAGGTACTATACATGAGCGACTATACTGCACGTAGAATATAAGCAATAATTATTTTTAATACTGTATCATGTAGTTTCTTCTTTAAATTTTAAATATAATACTTCAGCGAGTATTTGAATGAATAAGCTAGTACTGTCTCACGAGAAATAAAAATAGAATTAATTGTAATAAAAAACTGCCATTTTTCTATGTACAAAAGATTGTTTTATTCCTTAATCTGAAAATTAAATTTAAATATATTTTGTACATCATTAATATCAACAGACTTGTCACTAGAGTTTGAATGCTTTTCCTCTTCCCCCTTTCCTTTTCCCATTGAAGCAGACTTTCTTAAAAACAAACATTTCTTGTTCTGACTGGACAGAGGTGTGAATTTGATGGAACATGCAGCTTTGCCATGCTTTTGCTCGTCGATAGCCATTTTCTCTCTGTAATTCCCCAAAGTGTTGCGCATTATCTGCCTCTTTTTCACCAGAGGCGCAGTATTGCTTTTTAAAACATTTATATTCTTAGTCAAATCGTGCGTTTGTTTCTCAGAGAGCTTTCCAGTAGCCAAACACATTTCTAGTTGCTGAATGCACCAGCATAATTCCAGTTCGAATTGATCTTCAGCTTCCTGGCTCAAGCCGCTGCTAGTTTCAGCAGCGGTATTTCCCAAATCTGTAAGTTTCGGTGGTTTCGTACTCCTTTCGTTTGTCGCTGCTTTCCTGGCAACCTGAAATCATTCTTCGTTACAGACAAGATTCTTACTGTTAGTTGTGATTTAGTCTAGGTTAGAATTAGCGAAACCCGTGCTTGGTTTTGTACGAACAGGAACGAAGAAAGAACAATAAAATTAATGTACCATTTTAGATTTCGGAGGCATTTTTTCTTTTTGTTACACATTTACTCGTACACTGCAAAAAATTAATCCTCTCAATTAGTAAATAAGTCTTGTGTAAATAAAAATATGTACTGTGAATGGCGAACTACTAGTGTCGCGTAGTGGTAAAACGGTGGAATTAAAATCCATCACTTCAATAAGTCTGTCTTTGTCGCGCACTATTGCGCTCCTTATGCAACCAACAGAATTTCAAATCTTTTATAAGCATTTCACAAGTTAAGTAGAATATAGGCAGAAAACTGCAAGTTTAAAATTGAAGCTACAACCGCAAATGTTCGCAAATTAATTGTCTTGATTGGTGTTTTTCGCTCATGAAAATTTCAGCGATTCATAGACATGAAAACTAGCGTCGCGTAGCGGTGAAACGGTGGAACTAAAAATCTACGCTCCTAGTCTGTAGTGATTATAATGATAATATTATAATACTACAAATAAATAAGAACTTTGTAACTTTTAATAAATTATAATAAATGATATAACAATAAAGTTTATAGCACAAATAGATACTGTTTTCTTCGAATGTTAATTATGGAATGAATAACTAATTATAAAAATGGGGTCTATATATACATCTCTGTCAATAAGTAAACATGGTAATAACATCTCCATAGGAATAATAAAAATAAAATATCAATTTACAAATATTTTAATGTTAAATGTCAATTTAGAGTTTGCGATGTCGATTTACAGGAAACATTTTACTTTTCGGCAGAACGATTGTGTAGATGGCGTTGTTGTTAATTTTGAAGAGATAACGGTCACTTATATTTATATCACAATACTATAAATAAATAATAACTCCGTAATTAATTTTAGTTGTTTATATAAAAATATCCTCAATATCACAAAATATACAATTACTAATAATTTAATGAAGTTTACATAATAGAATTTAAATGACGAATAATTTCTATAAANCTATTGTTTATATTAAATACACATCTCGACGGAACATAGATGTCGTTGATCTAAATTCTTCGAAGTAGAGGTCGCTACACACTACAAGTCAGTGCTGCCATCTAAGTCCTTCTTCCGACGAAATATACGAATATAAAACAAAATCAAGTTGATTGTTCTATAATTTTCTTTTTTTTTACGAAATTACAAAGGTTCAAAGTATCAAGAGTTTCTCGTCGAATGTGTGAATAATTTCCTCTGTGGTTTAAGCGTGGAGTGCGCTAAAAGAAAATCAATATTTTATTATATATTTCAGAGCATGGGAACTAAAAAGAGAAAAAGGGAAAATCTGATAGATGGCAGCACCTCCCTGTTTCAAAAAGAGGAGAGCAACAGTGTGCGACTAGGACAGAGAATGTATTTTTGAAAGGAACTTTAATAATCATTATAATCGAAATATTCAAATATTCAGTATCATGTGTCGAATTTCGAAATATTTCTAACAGAACAATTAACTCGCATGCACTCGATACGAGAGAAATTTCTATACAAGTGAATTACGACGGTGTTGTATTCTTATAAAAAATATTATTATTGAAAATACACAGACTTACAAAGTGAACTAGAGACTATACGCATATCGGACCTAAAGTGTCAATCTATTTTCGAGCTTATACGATCAATTTACTAATAATTACGAAATAAATAATATCACATTCTCAAGAGTCAACAGAACCATTAAGGAGCCAGTTATTTCGTATGGTGGTCACGTTTATGGCATCGACAATACTAACAATGTTATTTACCTCAGTAATGATAGTAACTTACACGTAGCTATATATTTTGTCTGCATCGATATACTTTGTTTAAACGTTAACATTAAATATTAACAAATTTCATTTGTCTATGTTAACGAGTTTTCTTTGTACGAGTGAACAAATTTATTTACAGTTTCTTGTACACCGACGCGCGAGCTATACATAAAGATCTGTAGTTTTCGCAACTAAAAACACGTGGCAACGTTTAATGAAAGTCGCGTCGAGGGTATTTATCACTGTGAGAATCTCAATTTCAATTGTACCGCGGTTGCAAATACAAAAGGTAATTTGCAATTTATGTAACATAAAGTTATATAATGATACTTACGACAAAAAGTATCGGCAGAAACTTTCAAAGATCATTATATACCGTCCCGCAACGTGTACAGCTTTGAATATTTCTCTCCGACATTTGCACACAATATTCCCTCCTTACGATCCTTCAAGGTTGGCCAAGAAGTTTCTTTCCACCCGTTTTTTTTTTTTTTTAATTATTTCTTAATCAAAACGTCAAAATATAAGAAGAAACTAATTTCATTAATTTCAAAATTAAATTCAAGTTCAACACGACTTTTTCCCCAATGCGTTTTAAAAATTATTTACGTTAAAATATGCGTTTTCAAAAATTAAGTACAATTAAACAAATTGAACAAAGTTTAATTTGTTTAATTAACAAATTAAACAAAATTTAATTAAACAATTAAACAAAATACAATTAAACAAACGTTAAAATATGCGTTTTCAAAAATTAAGTACAATTAAACAAATTAAACAAAGTTTAATTAAACAATTAAACAAAGTTTAATTTGTCTAATTAACAAATTAAACAAAATTTAATTAAACAATTAAACAAAGTACAATTGAACAAACGTTAAAATATGCGTTTTCAAAAATTAAGTACAATTAAACAAATTTACTTCAGTAGGAAGTGGACTTTTGGCCCACCCTGTATGTAACGCTGGGAGTTTCGCCGCGGCCCTCGTCAATGGTTCTCTCGTCTTGAATTTGTACAAACGATCCGGGGAAGAGAAATGACACGGGCAAGTCTGACAAACATCTCCTGATATAACGTATTACACAAAAGAAAAAAAAAACGCTCTCCTTCTGGCTCGTAACTTCGAGAACGACTGCAACGTCAACCACGTGTAAATGCGCCGACGTGATTTATGCACGTTTGATCGTTAATGGGAGAGACAGGGAGTTCAAACAGGGTGTTGTTGCTCGTTCGTTTCGTTCCACATGGTCATCGAGATCTCCTCTCGTCTGACCTGTGCCCTTTCCGGCACGGTGTACGCGTCTCTTCCGGCGAGCTTCAATGACTTGAAACCGGGGAACCATTTCAGCAAACGCCACCACTTTTTGCCAGGCTGCTCCCCCCCGTTACTCGAGATCGTTACGGTGGCGTATCTTTTAGGCTGTCCCCTCGGTTTCTTCGAGCCCTTCGAGCGAACCTCCTTCTTCGAGACGACCTCTGCATCGCTCTTCTGGTCGATGTCCTTCTCCTTCCCCCTCGCCTCATTCTCCTCGTTACCGCGCGTCGAGTCGACGACGTTCAGATGCTCGATCAACGAGGTGCTCTGCTTCGGGCTGTTGTCGCGTTGCACCGAGTTTCCGGAACAGTCGCTGCTCTCGTGAACGATGCCGGTGCCAGCTGTCGCCGCGATCCGAGAGCTGGTAGCGATCGGCCGCTGCTGCGATCGCGAGAGGCTCGAGTACGATCGCGGCTCCTTGAAGATGGTCAGACCGGCGATTCCACAGCTCCTCGACAACGTTTCCTGCGAAAAGAACAAATGTACATCGTCGTGAATGTCGATTGTTTCGCTGGAGTAATGGCGATCGTTCGATCGACGATATTTCAAGGTCGAAAAATTTTTTTCTTGCATTGTATTCTACTCGTCACGAGGGTAAAACTTTTCGAAGGAACCATAGGTCGCAAACTAATAGTTCTCTTGAAAAATGGCAAAGAAGTTTCTTAATCATTTAACATTGTGGACGCGTGCGTGCTAACAGCGACTTTATGATTCTGGATCAGGTTTCGCTAACATTTGACTTATCATAGTGTAGTGTGAATCTAAATAATTAAATGATAACACTAACTGTTAACGTTATTCGAAATGTAAACGTTACGTCCACGCGTCCAGAATGATAAACGATGAAGTCGCTGTTAGAACCTTTTAAGAAATTTCTTTGCCATTTTCTAAGAGAACTGTTAGGTTACGATCTTTTTGAAAGAACCATGGGTCGCAATAGTTCTCTCGAAAACTGGCAAAGAAGTTTCTTAATCATTTAACATTGCGTACGCGTACGTGCTAACAGCGACTTTATGATTCTCGATCAGGTTTCACTAACATTTCACTTATCATAGTTGTAGCATCAGTGTGAATCTAAATAATTAAATGATAACACTAACTGTTAACGTTATTCGAAATGTAAACATTACATCCACGCGTCCAGAATGTTAAACGATTAAGTCGCTGTTAGAACCTTTTAAGAAATTTCTTTGTCATTTTCCAAGAGAACTGTTAGGTTACGATCTTTTTGAAAGAACCATAGGTCGCAACCTAATAATTCTCTCGAAAAATAGTAAAGAAGTTTCTTAATCATTCAACATTGCGTACGCATGCGTGCTAACAGCGACTTTATGATTCTCGATCAGGTTTCACTAACATTTGACTTATCATAGTTGTAGCATCAGTGTGAATCTAAATAATTAAATGATAATACTAACTGTTAACTTTATTCGAAATGTAAACATTACGTCCACGCGTCCAGAATGTTAAACGATTAAGTCGTTGTTAGAACCTTTTAAGAAATTTCTTTGCCATTTTCAAAGAGAACTGTTAGGTTACGATCTTTTTGAAAGAACTATAGGTCGCAATAGTTCTCTCAAAAAATGGCAAAGAAGTTTCTTAATCATTTAACATTGCGCACGCATGCGTGCTAACAGCGACTTTATGATTCTCGATTAGGTTTCACTAACATTACACTTATCATAGTTGTAGCATCAGTGTGAATCTAAATAATTAAATGATAACACTAACTGTTAACGTTATTAGAAATGTAAACATTACGTCCACGCGTCCAGAATGTTAAACGATTAAGTCGCTGTTAGAACCTTTTAAGAAACATCTTTGCCATGTTTCAAGAGAACTGTTAAGGTTGCGATTTATAGTTTCTTGGGAAAGTTTTACCTTCGCGATGAGTAGAATGCAAAAAACTAAATTCAAAGTCAAAGTCAATTTTGAGGTTCTTTACACGTATTTCCATCAAATCGAAGGTGTAAAATTCATCTACGACAGCCACAGACAAATTTTTCTTTCCACCATGTACCGTTGATTAATTTCGTTTCAAAAAAAGGACACAATCGAATATCTATATCGAGAGAACTGTTCCAGCTGATTGATACATCTAATTACTCGGTAGAATATCGTTGTACCCACCATGAACGCGACGCGAAATTTGTTCGACATGATGTTGTACAGAATCGGGTTGATCGACGTGGACACATAATAGAGCACGCCGGATATGTAGGTGAAGAGAAGATAGAGGAACTCGACCAGCTTGCTGTTGGAGCTTATGTGGTCCTCGGAGTTTGTCCCGTAAATGGCGATCAATCGCTGCACGTGAAACGGCGCCCAGCAAATGAAAAAGGCAATCACCACGGCAACTGCAACAGAATTACATCGTTTAACCTTCAACCTGCCGGGACTTTTCAAGCAAACAATTTCTACCCTGTGATTCTCTCTCTCTCTCTCTCTCGGTTTTTCCTCAATTATTTAATTTTACTTTACGAGTTCAATTTTCTCGTTTTCGCTCGAAACTTCTTCTTTTTTTTTTTTTTTTGTGGAAATCATACCAAACCGAGGTTGGGAAGATCTTCCGCAAAGGAGCTTCGAAGAACATCAAGCGCGTCGCGTTTAACATCGAAACCGGCTTCGAGCAGCTTCTTCCCGCGAAACGAAAAGTCGTCCGATTACATGTGGCACGGATGTTCGAAGAGAGAAGTTCATAAATTTTAATTAATCCCCCGGGAACGGCTGTACTCTACTTGTTCTCTTTTCAGGCAAGAGACTCGATTTAAAACCAATTCAAACACAGCGAAAAACTTTAATTTGTAAACCCAGTTACGTGTCGACGATCGATGGCTTTAATTACTTTCAGATCGATGGTTCGTTAATCATTTTGCGGGAAGTTGCGACGGATCGATCATCGACGAGCTATCCTAGGAACTTATTTCTTACTCAACGCTCGATTCGTCGTCGTCGTCGTCGTCTCTCTCAAGACAAAAAAAAAGAAAAAAAAAAAAGAAAAGAAAAACGAAAATGAAAAGAATCGAAGGAAGAAGCGTCGGAGGATGATTTGCGTGTTGCGTTACGTTTTGATCCGAGTGATGGCCATTATACTCGGCGGACTTTACTACGCGGTTACGAGGTGATATTGCGCGGACAGCTTTTGAAAGAATATGCAAAGACCAGAATTGATATGCGAGTGAGGTCAAGATCAACCAACTTATGGCATTTCACAGTCACGTGCTGCACGCGTTCTCTTTGAATAATTTATCAACAAAAAAAAGAAAAAAAAAAAAATGAAAACTGAAATGGCACGTCGATCTTTATTATGTTCTCTTTATAAATTCTGTTATGCTCTCTTCCTTCCAAAATGCCGCACAAATCGTCATCCTCGAAGGACTAAACTTATCAAGAACCTTAGCAAATACAAATTATTCTTATTGTTGCTCTAAATTCTATTTAAATCCTTAAATTCTGTGTCTACACTTTCTTTAAAGGCTGTAACCTTAAATGTATAAAGTTTATATCCTTATTTATTTTAGCTTATATTTATTTTACATTTACGTTTAGTTTATATTGACTCTTATATTTATTTATTTTACGTTTATACTTGTATTTATTTTAAGTTTATGTTCTGCAGTTGATCTTACAGATATGATTGTAATGACCTTCAGTTCAAATGAGATTCAGGTTAGGTTGAGGTTTCCAAAGCTTAAATGAGGTTATGTTTAGATTTCCAAAGCTCAAATCAGGTTAGGCTTAGGTTAGGTTGAGGTTTCTAAAGTTTGAATAAAAGAAGAAAAAAAAAAAGTAAAAGAAAATCGTCATGTTGTGTAACAATTTAGATGATCAATAATAATTTGAGATTTAAAAGTGACGACAATCAATCATTAGAACACAACCATTGTGTGAAATCCCTTAGTTTGTACTGCAAATAATTCGGAGTGGTAGCAAAACTTTTGGATTCGAAACCACACATTTGTTTTCTACAAATTGACGAAAAAAGAAATGTATCCCGAGATACGATATATTTGCTCGTCGCTGTGAATTACGACATACTTGTTTCTTCTTTTTTTTTTTTTCTTCGATAAACCAGCAAGCAGTTAAGGCTAACTCAGGGTCATTATTTTTTTTTTTTTTTTTTTTTTTAGCGCTTGCCTCTATTATTTA